TGCTTGCCAGGCAAGCACTGCGCCACTGAGCTACATCCCAAACCTTTTTTTTTTTTTTTTTCTGATCAAGTTGGGGACCTTGCGCTTGTGAGGCAGTTAGCAGAACCACTGAGCCACATCCCCAGCCCATAACCACCTTTTTTTGTTTTATATTCTTTTTTTCCTGCACTGGGGATCGAACTCAGGTCCTTGTACTTCCAAGGTGGCAGAACCATTGAGCCAAATCCCCGGCCCTTGATTACCACCTTTTAAATGAGGCTTGGCTCATGTTGGATTTATGCTGACCCCAGAGAAGTATTTGCCCTGGCACATACACTGACTGGACTGCATTATCAGGGCTCCACTCCCTTATTTTATAAACTTTCGATATTGAGATCCACTTGTGTAAACCAGTGGTGGTGACCCTATGGCACAGGCGTTAAGATAAAAGATATTTAGGTAGTTTTTCCTAAACTAAAACCTACTACGCAGGCTTGATTGCAGTGCTGGCGCTATGCGATACATGGATTTTGGGTTGCAGCTTGGCACTCATGTCTCTTACAGGCTCACCGTCACTCGCCTAAAACGCGGCCAATTCAGGGTTGTTTCAAGTAAGGGTTTAAATGCTGACAAAGATGAAATAAATTCTTTCATAAAGTGTTGCTGTTTTCAAACAGACACAGGGTCGCACATATCGGTGCATTAAACATGAAGAGGAACCTCATCCTTTCTACTTTGACCATTTATCAGCAAAGGATATTGAATTAGCTTTCAGGAGCTGGAACAAAAATTCAGTACAGGGAAATTTCAAACGCCCTCCAGTGTTGAAAAGGAGAAACACCTTGTCTGGTGTAGTTCGGGAGGCGGCCTCCTACCTCCTGAGATTTGGAAGAACTTGGTACCGGGCAAAGCTATGGTCCGATCTCACGCATATGAGTTAGTAGCTGCTCACTGGCCCTCGGCCCTCATCCCAAAAGATGCTCAAACAATGTTTTCACTTCATTTATTTCTTTAAAACAAGTCACTCCACACAGCATTTAATTATTTAAAATCACACACCTCATAAATAAAATCGATGCAGCTTAATGAGAATGGCAAAACCAGGAGTTATACAAAGTGAAATCAGACATCTTCCAGGTAGCAGCAGTGTATTAGCTTTGAAAAAAATACCGGTAAACAAAGGAACATTTTCAGAACACTGTCCATCTTCCTCAAGAACGTCATGCTGAGAAAAACAACTTTGTTGTTCCGCTCTTCCACACTGCTTGAGTTATGTTCAAAAGCTCTAAATTTGAGTTTTTGCTTGTGGTCTTGTTTCAGGAACCTCAGCTTCTGCTTCATTAATGCAGGTACAAAAGGCTATCATTATTCTCTATCCTTTTCAAGGAGCATCCTTTGTATTTTAAGCTGTTTGGATTTCTTAAATGAAAAAAAAATCTTTCCTGTTTCCTGAAAACAACTTAAGCACTGAATGGCAACAGTGTGAACTGGACAAGCAAGAAAACTGGGCCCTACCTATGGTGGTCTCCAAACTTTTGGCACCAGTTTCAAGGTAGGCAATTTTTCCACCATTGCGGGGATGGAGATGGTTTTGGGGTTGATTCAGAGGAACAAGTAACCCAGGTCCCTCACGTGTGCAGTTCACAGTCAGCTCATGGTTCTAAGAGAATCTAATACTACAGGACCTGACAGGAAGTGGAGCTCAGGGGCGACCCCTGGGGAGTGGCTGTAACTAGGGCGGAAGCTTTGCTTGCATCTCCTGCTGTGAGACCCAGTTCCTAACAGGTCATGGGCTGCTACCAGTCGGTGGCCGGGGGGCTGGGGACCCCTGCTCTAAGTTACTTATGGGTGGTAGCTAACTATAAAGTTATAATGTCAGACTCAAGAAATCTTAGTAGAAATTCTAAACCTTTCTGGGGTTAACCTGTGTACTCTATAAAGTAAATCCTACCTCCACCATCCCGAAATTCCTACATGCAGGTTAGCTGTTTTGCAAACAAAAGTATTAGAGGGCATTCACAGCAAAATGCTTATATTCACCTCTTTAGCAACAAGCTTTCTCAACTAAGGCCCTGTTACATTGTGCCAAGAAACGAAGGAAAAGGGTTAGGGTGACAAAAAGGCATCACTTGAAAATCCCTTTATTTTTAGTGCTACTTAATTTTCCTACTCCTTGTTTCTTCTACTCTAAAATACCACGGGAGGTTATCAACCTTCTTTAAATGCATGGGAATCAAGACACAATTGAGACCAAGGTAATGGTTTTATCCAAGTAAAATATTCAAAGCACTGTAAACAAAATGCTAGCTTATTTTGGGGAAAGAAAAAAACAGAACACTTCTCACAGCCAGGAAGTTCTATATTCTTTTTGTGTTGAATAAAACGTGCTGAAATAGTGTAACGCCTAATAAAAAAAAACATTTAGTTAATAAACTAGCTTATTCAAATGAAGTCACTTTAGACTTAAAAATTATGTTGCTTATCATACTTCTAAGGCCTCTGATTAAAAAATCAGCTTCCTTAAAATAAGTTCACTTGGAAGCAAATGAGAAGACTTTAAGAATCTAATCTTTCGGAAGTTATTAGTCATTTTTGTGCGAAGAAGACAATTTTGAATACTGCAAAGTACAACAAATGATAAAAGATAATCACATTATAATACTGACATTTTTAATGCTGGGGTACAGATCATGCTTTCAGTTCTGAAACTGAGTTTTATGGTTATCAAAACATGAGAATGTTGTAAGACTAAACACTGATGACAAAAGTTGATTAAGAGCTGATGGTTAGCAGCTCAAGAATTGTATTGTAACGTCCTTAACAAGATTCCTAGAGGGCTAACCATGTAAACTATTACATATTTTTTAAAGTGCTACAAATAATTATGTCTCATCACATGAAAGAACATAATTCTTAACATACCTAAGTTTAAGAAGGCCACCTGATTTATCAAAACTAAAAAAAAAGTCATTCTTGCTTATTAATCTTACAAACTCTCTACTGATTTTATTAAAAAAGACATACAAAACTGTTTTCAGCTGGGGCAACTGCAACACCCAAGTTTCAATTTCTACATGAGACAGAAGGAATAAGCTAGATAAGCAAGTTAGGAATGGGCACTTAGGGGTGTAGATAGGCAGATAATCTCAATTCACTCCTCATTACCATCTTGCTGGGACTTGAACTTCATGGAATAGCATGACAACATTAGTTCTTATCTGGGTCAAGCTGACCAGCAGCCAAGTTTCAACAGAAATCAACCACGGACCACCAGCAAAGTATGTAACGTAATAACGTCTTTGTACAGCCAGCACATTACTCCTGGGGATGCCAGTCACTCCACCCAGGTGTGCCTATTCACAGCATCACCACTCATCTTTCATCTGAAGAGTAAGGAAAAGGACGGCTGGTTCGGGAAAGCATTTTTTATTTAAGCAGTACTGGTGTTTGAACCCTGGGCCTTTGCTGTGAGCTACATCCCCAGCCTGTTTTTTATTTTATTTTTTGAGACAGTCTTGCTAAGTAGCCCAGGGCAGCTGGAACTTGTGATCTTCCAGCCTCATCCTCCCAGAATGTTGGCAGCCAGCTTAGGAAGTACATTTTTATTCATTCTGCCACTAATGTAAATTGTCCTCACTTTAGTTAAAAAATCATTCTCAAATAACAGGATAAAACTGCACAACTAGGGGGCCAGGGATTTAACTCAGTGGTTCTGCCGCCTGCCTTGCAAGCACAAAGTCCTGAGTTCTATCCACGGTACCAAAACAAAAAACAAAAACTGCATGACTAGGAAGAAGAGTTTCATTCTACTCTGATGTAAACTTACAACGAAGTGTTTTTCAGTCCTGCTGTAAGCACTAAAGCCATACTTTTCAAAATTCCCAAGATGTGAATTTACTCACATTAATAACTAATTTTGAGTTTAATAAGCCCATAAAAATAACCTTTAAATCTGTGAGACTTACAAGCAGCTAAGAATGAAAGTTAAGATTCGTTATTAGTGTTTATTAAATGACCCGAAACTAATGCTGCATCTTCAGTTTTCCACCAGCAAAGGATTAATTTAAAAAGTCACCTTTGAAAGTAATATGACTATCACTGTCCACCTGAATGAACCTAGGAAAGACACAGTAAGATCCCCCAAAATTTCACAATCTGTAAGCAAAACATTTAGTGTGAAGGGGGCCAATTTAGAAAAGTATCAATGCTCTACTTTTCGTTTGTTAAATTAATCCACTGTAAGTAATATATACTCCATTTTAAAGTGACAGGAATTTAGGTTGTGGAGACTTAGCAAAAGATGCCTGGCATGTTATAAGTTACTCAATAAATATTTGCTGCATGAATAAACTTCTAGATACAAAAATCAAGTACATGGCAAATTTGGCTCCTGAAGTGACAAAGTAAGGCAAGCTTCATGGACCACGATGCACGAAGCTCACTTTGATGTCACCCAATGCTACTCTCTTTTTTTTTTTTTGAGACAGGGTCTTGCTAGGTAGCTCAGGCTGCCCTCAAACTCACAGCAATTCTCCTGTCTTAGTCTCCTGAGTGCTGGGACCCAGGTGTTCTTAATTTACAATTTTAAATTTCCTATTTTCTGGGGAAATAAGATACAAAAACTATCTAGAATCAGATGACAGACAGTACGAAGAGATTTTCGTATCACACCCAAGAGTTCGTATCATGATTGCCAAACATTAAGTATCGTAAGCTCACAAGTGCTATTTTTAAGGCTGTTAAAAACAGAAATACTTTCAACTTATACTGACCATAACTTGTAATGCCTCAAACAGCTAGGAAATTAAAAAATGTCATTCGGTGATTTTTTTTTTTTTTTTTTTTTTTT